CTTCTATAGACAGAAATTCACTGCCCCAATAATTGGTTTGATCCATTGTTTTAAGCTTCCATTACAGGTCTGGTGTGGGAGGTGGGTAAGGGAGGAAAACATTCCCTAAAATAATAGCAAAAAAAAAAAAAAAAGTTGATTTAATATGGTGACCTTTTACCAGGTTATTTTTTAAATGTGATAAATGTGAGTCCTGTCTGGACAAAGTAAACTATCTGCCAAGCTCATCGCCCTCATTTGTAACAGGGGAAAACAAGAGGAAATGAACAGCCACAAACCAGCATGATTTCATGAATAAGATAATCAAAATATGGATACTTCATCTGTAATACCACAGATGCCTTCTTGACAACCAGTATTTTAGCAATTATATTGCCTCCTGCAAATATTTCTCTTCATAAGCATTTTCCACTTTTAGAGGAAGATGAATTTCTCTAGATTTAGACAGTGAATAAGAGAACTTCTATCAATGGCTGATGAGTGTGTGTACAAAGGATGGACTGGGTGGGGGTTCACATCTCTCTGGAAAACATTGATGCTCCAGTCCCAGTGGTAATTAAGCACAGAGGAACCAAATGTCAAGATTCAAGTCAGAAATCCCTTATTTTACCCAATAACCACGACATATAATAACAGCATTTGAGTGCAGTGCTACATTCAGGTCAAAAAAAAAACCCAACAACATGGGCCTGGGCCATCACTGCACTATGCCAGGCTGACTCCAATTAAAATTAATGGAATGTTACTGGAATAAAATGGATTGTAATGAAGTAACCAGCCATTACCTCTTACTGAAATTGAGCATGCAAGACATGAGATAGTTATTAAAGCATAATTACATGGTTTAGTAGTGTGGCTGGTCTTTTGTCTTCACTCATCATTCAAGAAGTACATATATAATACACAAATACTCCCACCTTGGTGTCATAATAGTAAAGTAAAGACTAGAGTCTAACCAAGGAATACACACTTCATGGAGCCAGAGATATTTCATATAAACAAGGGCAGAGGAAAAAAGAAAGTAACTTGGAAAATTCTATTTCAATCAGGAAAGAGGAGATGAAAAACTACTCTCAGTGAGAAAATGAAGGACAAACACAATCTCAATATTAAAATAAGGCTGATAAAAATCTCTCTGCATTGGTCCTACCAGCTGTGTTTTGTGTCTTAGAAAACTGGGCACATACTACACGAGTTTCAGAACTGCCAAGAGAAAAATGAAGAGCACGGCCTGAAGGTGGCTTTGTTCTGATATGAGGAGTTGCAAAATCATCCCTTATCATTATTGGCACACATATATAAATTCCCCTCCAAACACCAGTAACTTCAGTCCTTCCAGACCTCTGTGGCACAGGCACAATTAATCCCTCTTCAATAGGATGGGGAAACTTGTTAATGGGAAACAGCACTGGAAACTGCAGCATGGAACACAACCAAGAGAACAGGACTGTTCTCTGAAGGCCAGGGACACGCCAATATTGGGATGAAGCTTCAGTTTATATCCAAGCCATTTTCACAACAGTAATGAACTTCATTATTACCAGAAGTGGTCCAAAAGCAACCCAAACTATAACTTCCATAGGAACAACAGGACTGCAGACCTGTTGAAGAGAAACTGAGCTCTAAACTTACCTGTTCTCCTGAATAATAAGTACTACCTCTTCCAAAAAGCCTCATCCCTCCTAACTTGTGTGCAAGACAACAATCTCTGGGTTAGAGGCTACGGCAGCCCTAGAAATAACAGCTCCCAAAGCAAAGGTGATCGTGCCACTAGTAAAACTCAATTTTTACACAATGATATTCATAGAAAGATTAACCCAAAACATACAGTCATTGTCTTTTAATTTTTGTTGCAGAGTTAGAAGTTCAGATAACACATGAGGATTCCAGCAGCCTGTCTGCTCCCTATTTCTGTCCCACCCACCACTCAATTAATTAACTCAATAAATCTCACATCTACAGCATGCCCAACCTCTGGGCCCAGGGGTAACCTTACTTCTCAGGTAAGCCAGTGGAAGACAAGACAGCAAAGAAGTGAAGACTCACGTTCTGTATCCAGTAGCTTGTACAGATGTGCAAACTATGGCTTGGGCCCACTCTACTAGCTGTAGAATCTCTGGTTCACAGCCTGAATTCCTCCAATTCTGCCATTTGAATTGGTATTTAAAAATAACAGGTTATGAGTTTTTAAACATCTTCAAAGTCAGAGTACATATTCACTTAACCACAAATTTACTTAAAAATCAAAATTACTATGAAGAGGCTTAGTAATTATATGTAAAATAGTGAAAGAAACTTCCTTTGCAATGGAAAAAAAAAAAAAAAAAAGTGAGGTCTGACACTCCTGGCAGCTTGAGTGTATGTACTGCAGTGAGTCCTCAATATCTGACTGCTTAAATGTCCTTTTTAATGCCTATTTTTACATTAACATTTCCTTTCCCTGTTCAGTGGATACCACCTACACTTCCCAGGAACTTACAAAGGGGGAAGATTGCAAATTAATATAAAGAAAGCCAACCCACAATTAGCATTAAAAATACTTTTGTAATCATGTACTAAAAAAAGTATGAAAAAGATTAATAGTAGAACTGTGAAGTCCTACACAAAATTACAGCTCAGGCTCCTCAAGGCAATATAAAATAGACTGGACTTAATCCACATTAAAATAAGGCTTACTGTCAGAATGAGAAAGAAAATCTCCCATCTCTTTCCTCTTGTCCAGTTGAAAACCAAGGACAACATAAAGGTTTCAGCAGACGAAAGCAAAAGCCAGTTCAGGAAAGTCATGCAGAAAAATGCCACCAAAACCCTTCCAAAACACAAAACAACATAAGCCTGCCCACTCCAAACCTAGCCCAGAAAAAGAGGTGGGAAGAAGCCATATAAACACGCTCTTTCCTAAAACAACTCCTCATTTTCTCTTAACCTGATTAATTTTTCTTTCCTATTCCCAGATGTAAAAGGAGTTTCCTTTTTGAGCACACTCTTTTCAGCAGACCCAGAGGCTACTCCTCAGTTCTGTACCTCGTGTTCAGAAGGGGATGCAAGAGATGCTCACACCAATACTGTGGGAGCACTACAGAGCAATGGACCCACTCCTGCAGCCCAGCATTAGCCCAAGGACCTCCACCACGGTGACTCCATTGGGTACACAGGGGCCTTGGCTGCATTCAGTACAAGCTGCTACAAAGAGTTTTTCCCAGATTGAAGCTGAGGCTACATGGCACTTTTCATCAGCAGATGAAGGAGCCTGTGCTGCTGAAAGCCTCTTTGAACTCTACAAGCATGTGGTTAGGAACTCAGTACTGTCAGAGCAGGTGGTGGAAATGTTAAGAACAAAGAAACCAATTACAGGATCAATAGAACACTCTGTTAAGGAACGTTGGGTTTCTGGCACCTCAGGACGCAGAATAGTCTCTGCCCTACAAACTGAGGTTGCACAAGCACTAGGAAGTGAGGGCGAAGGCTCCTGTGAGCACAGAGGCTTTTTAAACAGCCTCTGTCATTCTCAAAGACAGACGATTACTAAACTACAGCCAGAGTGCAAAGTATCTGTAGGCATCAAATGTTCCACATAGAAGCTGCACCAGCTTTTGTGTTCAGGCAATCTTCTTCCAGGTTTATTAAATGTGGCTGAAAACACCTTAGCAATAGAAGGAGAAATGACAGCAAAGCCCAAAAATGCTGCACAAAACCAAACATCAACTTCTGCCTAATTCAGTTCGATAAATCCCAGGGTTGAAGCAAGTAGGAAACAAAACATGAGAACAACTTTGGGATTTAATATTTGCTTTCATGTTTTTCTTACTGTATTTATACCAGTATCACTGCTAATAATGCACACATTACTTTCCACACCTGATCACAGACAGAAATCCTCAGAATGTCAATTTAGGAGAGGTAATCACTTGTTTTTCTTAGATTTTTTATTTAATAATCCAAGCATCTGAGTCTATTTTGGACTTTTTCAGAATACAAACCTGCTGCTTTTAAGAATAAGGGGTCTGTGTCTTCTTTCTTATACAGGCAAAATTAGTTCTAATTCATAATGATGAACACAGAGCTGATCCCAACTCTGATATAGCTGGAGAGCATGAGCTGAGCTTTAATTTAAGGACTGAACAAGAGTGCCCCTTTCCAGCCACAGGCAGGCAGTGAAACAAGTCCTCCTTCCTGGAACCTGAGAGAGCCAGGCTTTGAAGGTTCAGAAGCATTAGAGATGAAATCAAACAAAATGTGCAAAGTGGCAGAAGCAGATAAAATTATCACCTTTCTATCATGTATAGGAAGTAGTTAGAGGCTACAGCTTTTTTTTTTTTTTTTTTTTTTAAAACCATCAAGTAATTCCCACTACTACTGATACAATAGAACACAGCCAATTTTAGTTTGGCTATTAACAGTGAAACCCTTATTTGTAAACTAACAAAGCTTAACCAAAGGGAAGTGATAGGTGCATGTTTTACAATGCACCAAACTGTCCTTGACACTTAGCTATTGTATTGCCTGAAAAAACAGTCAGGTTTACAAACAACTTGCCTTTTTATTTTATGATGGTGCTAATGAGTTTACTTCCTACTTCACTCAGGTGACAAGAGAGAAACGTGTGACTGCCTTATTTTTATTTTAGAATTTTTCATCAGTGAAACCTGAGCAGTCATTTTACTCTGACTCAGAAAGCAAGCCAGCATCTCCTGAGATCTGGAATTTCACTCGTTTCTACTAGACAGCACATTCTTCATTCCATAATTGACTAACACCAAAGAAGATCCAGGTTTCCAATTCAACACCCAGCACGATGACAATTTTCAAATGTTCTTGTAAAACACCTGAGACACCTGAAAGGTGAATGAACAAAGAAATCCTTCCAAAAAAATCCATGTGCTGTGCCCCTTACATTTAAAAAACAACCCATAAAAAAAGCCCAACCAAACCACACAGATGCAATATAATTGAATTTTTTTTTTTCCTCCTCCCAGTAGAGTTCACAGCAGTTCTAGTTCCTACCACTTGACTGGGCTTTGCCCTCGTGACTGTTCTGCCTTCACATAAGCATCATACAGTTCTCTCAGATGCAGCAGCAGCTCCTCAAGGTTGGCTCCTGTCAGTGCAGACAAGGCAATGACCCGCTCAGCGACCTGCTCTTTCAGCAGTGCCAGGTTCACCCTGGAGTCAGCAAGGTCAATCTTATTCCCAACGACAACACAAGGTCTTTCAGACAATCCTTTTTTATATTGTTCCAGTTCATATTTCAAGTCCTGCAGCTGCATCCATGGCTGAGGCACAGAGAGGTCCAGCACGTAGAGGAGGAAGCGGCAGCGTTCAATATGCCTCAGGAAGCTCATCCCCAGGCCCCTGTTCTGATGAGCACCTTTTATCAGGCCAGGAATGTCAGCAACTACAATGAGAGAAACTCCACATTGAATCCAACATACCCAACAGAAAAACAGCAACAAAAACCCCAAACCCAGTCCTCTACTGGCCAGTGGAAGTACTTCTAAAATTCCACCTCAATGCCTCAACATTAAAGCAGCAGCAAGATTTGACGTGAGTTCTGTTATCTTTTAAAATCCCTAGATTTAGATTATTCCAGCAGAGACAGAATATTGCTGGTTTGATATTAGGGGTGTGTAAGTGAAATGGGCTTTCAGTATTGTTTTGTTTGAGGTTCTTTAGAACTACAGAACTGCTAAACTGACTCCCCCAGCACTTCAGAGAGCACCCCAGGTGACACTAACTCCTACCATGGTGCACACAACCCGCTGCAGTTCTCACCTGCCACCTGCTCATAGTCTTGATAGTGGACGATGCCGACGTGGGGATTCAGGGTTGTGAAGGGGTAGGCAGCCACAGCTGGCTTTGCACGGGAGATTGCTCTCAGAAGTGATGATTTCCCAGCATTGGGAAAGCCCACCTGGAACACAAACAACCACAGAAGCCACAGCTCTAGGTTAATCCCAATTTAAAAAAAACCTGTCAGCTTTTGCAGCTGTTCTCCCAGCACGAATATGAAA